TACTGCATGTATAGCTAACGAGGCTAGCTATACATGCTAGCGCAAAACAATGTATTCATGCCAGTTACAATGAATGACCGAACGTAGCAGACTATCCTTTCTTCCCTGAATTATTTGCTCCTATAACATATCATTCATATATAGCAAACCATGATTTGATTTCTCATCAAACAGTAGTAGTTTATTACAGGTAAAAATAACTTACTCTTTGTTATGACCGGCTCGTAGGCCACAACGGAAAGACAAGGAGACATACACGAGTTTACAAAACCACGGCACATTTATTGTGGTAAATGCAGAGATAGGTAGTCGAGGGGAGAGGATCGCCGAGTTCGTCCTTCTGCAGCCGCTTTGGAGAGAGACAGGGGCCGCCGTGTGACTCCGGGCAGCTGGGCTTAATAGCACCTCGGCTCCGGCCAGGTGTCCGTGATCACGCTGATTAGCCTCTTCAGCTCCACCCCATCGTAAGACCTGCAACACACCTGCACAAAGGCCCTGGGGCCGTCACACTCTTCTATAACAACAGTTGTAGGTACAGTTCGGTTAGTTAGCGTATAAAATATACGGCTGTACCGACGCCATTATAAGACTGATGTTCCGAGAGCGAGCCGAAAAAAGCACTGTTAGACATGGGCGGAGCCTCTCTGGTGGTTGACTAATCAGAACAGAGTGGCCGAGCTGACCAATCGGAGCACACTAGGCTCACAGGGAGGGGGGGGGCAAGAGCTCCAACGAGTCGTTTAGTGGAGAGAGTGAATACTGCTGAATACACATACTTTACAGAGATGCTGTATGCGAAACCAATGTGAGTTTGGAAAATTGCACAGCATAAATCTATTTTAGTATACCTCAACAATGTAATTATGATCAGTGGAAATGGCCATGACATGGGCCCTTTAAGGTGCATACCGCCACATACTGTACATGAGTGTGAATCATCATATGATTCCATCTCTTAACTCATGGACGTATATTAGGGGTGTAATGGTTCACAAACATTTCGGTTCGGTACGTACCTCGGTTTTTAGGTCACGGTTCGGTACGTTTTCGGTACAGCAGAAAAAATGATCACAAAACATAAAATATATATATATTTTTTTTAATTATTATTAAACTGTGAACTCAAATAAATACAAAATATAACAAAATAAACATTAACCTGTTAAGCCCTGAGCCTGTTTTTCAGGTCTCAGGCTCGAAAATGACATTCCCAGAACAAATGACCATATCTTCCCTTCTAAAAGGGTTAAATTAATAATCTTTTTTCTCAAAGTAATGATAAACCTGTGTCGCTGTCATTGTGTCACAAGACGAGTCTGTCTGTCCTGAATATAACAACTCCTGAACAGTGCAGCAGCTACTTTTGTACATAAGTTTGTTCAGATTTCAAATGTTTCTCAAAAGTAGAATTTGACAAATGTTTTGGGCATCACTTTCAGGGCGTGTGTGTGTGTATCACATTGCACTGTGACAACTTTGTAAAAACATTTAACTGTACAGTTCGGCATTAATATTATTATTATTATTATAATATCACATATTGTTGTTATTGTACAATGTGCAATTTGACTTTTTATGTAAATATTGTTATTTTATTGCACATTTTAACTTTAACTTCTTATTTATCCATACATATTTTTATTCTATTTTATTACAACTTGTATTGCAACCTTTTTACTTTAACTCTGTAAGGTTACATCATCCTTTTAGTCTTTTTTATCTTGTATTGCACATTTGTATTCTTACTTCCTATGTTAATGTACATCTTTTAACCTGTTAAGCACCAAGCCTGTTTTTCATGTTTCAGGCTCGAAAATGACATGCCCAAAACAAATGACTACAACCTAACTTCTAAAAGGGTTATATGAATAATTTCTTTTATCAAAGCAAGGTTACATCTGTGAGTTGGATGTAGAAGTGTCAGAATCAATATAAATGTTTTTTATTTTAAAGAAAATTCAGATTTACATAGTAAAAAACTGTAAATTATAGTCTCCGTCCAAAAAAGATTTTTTACAGATAGTGAAAACTACCCTTGGATGATGGGTTAGTAGACTAAAAGCTTTAGGAATCCAAAGTACAACATATAATAAGTACCCTGTATCAAGATTGATGCAAAACAAGTGACATGTGACATTTTTAGAGAGGTTTAGCCAAAACCACCCCACCTCTGAGGTGATTTGGGTGAAAATTGTTTTTTTCCCATATCTCTGGCCCCCCTTGGTCGATTTTGATGGTTGACACCTCTTTCTGACCGTTAGAGCCAATAGAATCGAAGGGGGAGGCCCCCCCACACACACACGTTGTGAAGAGAAAAGGTGGGGGCTGTGCGCATGTAAATGTGCAGCAGAGTGAAGCGATCTCTAGCTCTGGCATTTGGAAACGAAAAAGCAGTTTTATTGCTTATGGATTATCAGAAATAATTTCAAAGAGGGCACAGATACATTGGATGAACCTATGGATTAACTGCAGCATCGTTTTTTTATCGTTTTAATGCCATTGAAGACCAGTTTTGACCAAGGTAGGTAAATTTGAGAAACCGGCTCCAGATACACTTTTTGTTATATTCCATGGAATGCTCTTAACATCCCGATAGCAATGAATATTTTAAGTGCTTTGACAAAAAATCCATAAAAAAATGTTCATCTGTGGAAGCCGTAGTACTGTAAAAAGTACGACCAATCATTTTAGCCGGCCCGGCTAAAATAACTGGCCTTCCATCTGTGCACAAACTTATCTCGTGCCCTCATTGGTCATGTGCACGTTCGTGTGTGTTGGAGGAGGGGCTCTGTAAGGAAGTGGCAGATTTTTTTGTATTTTCAAATTCTAGCGCACTCGAGCTGGTTTCTCCAAAATTACCTACCCCACCTTTAATTGTATTTTATTATATCTTGTATTGCACTCTTTTACTTTAAAGTGGACCTATCATGCTATATTTGAATAATATAGTGTAGGACCATACCTATATAAGGCATATTTATACTTTTTTCAAAATACCAAACAGATCATGCATTTTAGCCATGCCTCATTTCGCTCAATTTGACAATTTATAGCTCTGTTTTTGCAAGGGTTGATTCTGTGAGCAACAGCACCATCTAGAGGCCTGGCATATGTACTACAGCGTCTCCAGCACTTTCGAACGGCAATGCCGTGGTTGTCTCCTCCTGATTGGTGGAGTTGGCCCAATAGCCGTAGCGCCACTGTCCTGACGTCAGGAAAGTGTTCAAATCTGGATCAGTTTTTATCAGATCCGTTGCAGCCCCTTTTTTAGAGATTTGGGTATGGAGGAAAATAGAGAGGGTTGTGTTTTCTGACACTTGGTGAGTTCCCTGGAACACCGGGGACACATATTCATGTATAAAAGACGTACAAAAGTGCATTTTGCATGATAGGTCCCCTTTAACTTCTTATTTCAACATAAATATTGTTATTTAAAATCATATTGAACATTTCTACTTTAATTTCTTGTTTGTTTTATATGTTTATATACATATGGTTATTTTATTTCCTATAGTTACATTAATCTTTTTATTATATTGTTCTTATCTTGAAATTCACACTTTTACTTTAACTTCTTATACATTTAGATATTTATTTTATTTAACCATTGTATTGGATTGCATTTCTACATTAGCTTCTCATGTTTACATTATGTTTGAATTAGATTTGGTTTTATTTTGTATTGCACGTTTTTACTTTTTATGTTTTTATAAGTATGTTTGTTCTAAAATTGAGCCACACAAAAAAAAACACAATTCCCTCCACAGGATAATGAAATTATTCTGATTCTGATTTAACTTCCATGATGAAAGGGCGGTGCCGGCCGTCAGCGAACCGAGCCGGCCTTTCTGCGCGACTGTCACTCAAATGCGGGACATAGTCTCAATATGTGGGACGGGGAGAAATTATAAAAATGCTGTACTGCACAGCATTTTTAAAGTTCAAAACACAAATACACAAACGAAAATAATACATTTAATACTATAATACAAAGAGATGGATGAATTCATTTCAATAAACATGTGAAAACTAAATCATACAGGTTTTAAGGGGTTTATTTTGAGTGAAGACGGCAGCAGTAAAGTAAAGGGCGTCGGAATCTGCTTTGGATAAAAGCTTCTAACAAATGACATTCCCCAGGAAGAGTAGCTTTTGTCAAGAGCAAAAGCTAATGGGGACCCTTAATAAACATAATCTATTGTATTCATGCTCGTCTCTGCAGATTACGTCACTTCCGCCTAAAACCCAGGAGGTATACGATCTAGCACTAACCGTCTCGTGTGAACGGACACGTTTCTGGTGCCTGTTGCGTGTGGACGGAAAACGATTTCGGTCCGTTTGCGTTATCGTCCTCGTGTGGCTCCAGCCTTAGTCTTAGACCCCGTTTATCTAGGCTCTTTTTGTATCTTTTTTTATGTATATGTGTGTGACATATACATGACTGCGAGAAACGGTATTTCAAGATTTCTGTATGTATAACACATGTAGACATTTTCGACAATAAAGCTGACTTTGACTTAGTGAAACAAGTCTTGAGTGACCCTATGGCTAATCTTTCAGTTCATCATGAGCTCGAGTTCAAAGAATGCTTTCACTGGGTGGATATTTCTCCACCATATTGTGTTAGAAGGAGGGAAGGGAAACAACATTACTGCTCAGTGAAAGCGGTGCCTCCCAGCTGCTATACTGTCATTATGGAAGCATCACAGGTGAATGCTTTGTTAGTGATACTATTTTGCATTCCAATACATGCAATAGCTAGGAATACTTCCTTAATTTGCTTTATGTTTTTTACATACTTTGATTCATTTGCACTTTTCTTTTTTTAGTAGGTGACCACCTATTGAAAAATACAAATAGTGTGGGTGAGTTTAATCTACTGCATGTGTTACATTAAAATTAAAATGTTCTGTTCAGCTCAGATTTTATTTTTGGTTTCTTAAAATGTAGTAAGTGGTCATTTGTTTCATTGTTGGTCTGAATATGCTTAAGAAAAGAAAAGACTCTTACACTTTTATTTGCGAAAGTAGGGAAAACCCTTTTTACACAAATACAGTCAACATGCAGACTAGGCCTTACTGTAACACAATCTTAACACCTTCACCATGGGTTATTCATGTATGATAATATATATTATATGATTTATTTAAGTGCATACCCTCTATTGAATGCACAGAGATTAAATCACAACATATTTTCATCTTATGCTCAGCAGGAAAACAAAAGAGTGACATTTCCATAATATATTCATATTCAATCATATTGCAAATATGATTTTGTATATCAAACAATCATAAAGACAGATATGTGCGCAAATGTTGCAGATGTAGGAGTTACAGTGGGTCCTCACAGAAGAAGGCCTGCAGAGCCTTCCCCCCCGAGAGGTATCTAATGCTCTCTATCTCTCCGCCGTAGTTACTGGGCTTCTGGAAGTGGATCTCCAGGTGGTCCTGCAGGTCCTCCTCCTCCTCCTTGTCCTCAATGTCCTCCAGTAGGACAGTTCGCTTGGGAGAGCCACAGAAGGTCTAAAAGAATCACAACATGAGTTTGGTCATCTTTTTCTCCGTCAGTCAGGTGAGGAGATGCATACTGAAGTTATCTTATTTCATCAAATTAGATTTGGTAGTAAATCATGAATCAGAAAAGACCTAAAGTTCTACTCTGAAAGGATCAGAGGACAGATTCAGACATGATATGCTGGTGGAGGTGTAGAAACACTGATGGAATGTTCCATAAAACCTGCTCACCTGGAACCTGAGCAGCTGGTGACTGTAAACGGGTCCAACCTGCACGTTCACTTCAGAATCCAGATCCAGTCGGTAGCTCCCTCTCAGGGCCAGGCCATCAGCAACTACACACACACACACACACACACACACACACACACACACACACACACACACACACACACACACACACACACACACACACACACACACACACACACACACACACACACACACACACACACACACACACACACACACACACACCACACACACACACACACACACACACACACACACACACACACACACACACACACACACACACACACACACACACACACACACACACACACACACACACACACACACACACACACACACACACACACACACAATTACATCAGGTTCAAAGGTGACTTTATCGTGAAAGTCGACTAAAAATGATCGTGTATATTTTTTTAGCCGCAGGCATGAGACTTGCTTTAGAGTTTTGCTCCTCCTGCTCTCGCCAATAGCTCTCTCCCTCTCACAGACACCAAAAGATGCACGTATATGTCACACTCACTCACCCTCCTATCAACACTGAGAGTTTAACTGGGCCTGGGCTGTGTTTAAAATGCATGCTCCTTTTATGGAAAATCCGTCACATTGAGTGCTTCCTAAACTAACAACCAAACACCAGCCAGCGTTGGAGATCAGCATCCTGGTCAGGGGCGGATCTACGGAGGGGCAGCTGCCCCCCCACTGTAGAGCCTTGCCCCCCCAGCTAACCCCCAAACTTTTGTGTCCCTAAAACTGTACTTGTAGAAACAAACCTACACCATGTCCACAAGCTTCTCAAGCAACGAAACAAGCAGTTCATTAATTAACACTAGAACCGCCAGAGGTTTTTGTATACCTAAAACCGCCACCTGGGTCAAATTGACCCGCTATTAGAATGCATTGATTTTCAAGGTAAAATGTTCTTTTATTGAACAGTGAGTTTTGATCGCACAGGGATGAAACGTATACCAATAGAATCTGTGGACTCTCAGCTTTTCACAGGGCTCGACATTATAAATGGCCCGCTGGCCCGGAAGCATTATTTAGACACCGCGGCCAGCATAACGTACTTTCAACTCGCCCCACAGCTGTTTGCTGCGGAGCGCAGTGCGAGCAGTCTCCCGTGAGCGCACTCCTTCCCTACAGACTGTCTCTATCTCTCTCTCTCTCTATCTCTATCTATAACTATCTATCAATATATCTATCCATCTATCTCTCTCTCTCTCAATCTATAAGGAACCGCAGTAGACAAAAGGCGTTGCTATAGCAACACGTCATGTTTATATGAAAAGGGGTGGGGTCAATATGACCCGCTGGGCGGAAATAGGTATAAATGGCATTTTTTTTGGCTATTTCTTCAATCTGACTTCATATTGACAATTTTTAACAACATAGGGTGCTACATAACTCACTTTCAGGAAAAGTCACGGACTGGGAGACTTTAATATTTTATTGAAAAAAAGTTACATACAATAAAAAACAGCTCTGGGTCAAATTGGACCCGATTGGCGGTTCTAGTGTTAAAAGTGAATCATTTAAAATATCATCTTAGGCCCGTTAAAAACGTAGCTACGGCCCTGCATTAAACTGCGTAGCGGCGTTCACACAGACCGCAGTTCAGAGAGACCGAGCTGTCCCAGCACCTGAAGGTGGATCAGCTTCCCCTGGGAGCCTTTCCCCTTCCACTAGCGCCTCGATGACTTTGAGGTGTGAAGATGGGCGGTGTGGCGCAGTGCGCTGTGCAATGATTATCAGATCAAGGGGGTCAAACCCGCCGCCGCTGCGTCTGTAAAGCCGTTGTGTCCTTGGGCAAGACACTACACCTGAACTTGCTCCTGTGGGTATTGTCCACAGTAGACCATTACATGTATGATCTGTATGTGTAATGTGTATTTGTAAAGCGCTTTGAGTCATTGATAAAGCGCTATAATAAATATAAGGATTATTATTATTATTAGTATTAATACTAGTTTTGTTTTTACTAAGGACGAGAGCTTGAAACAAAAATATGAATAAAACGCTGCCATTTGAATGGATAGCGTTTAACAGACAGTCGCTGTTTGGGACGTTACAAAATACTACGCAGACAGCGGTAGCTGGGACATCGATCACTTTATTTGCTAAACTATGCGGTACTATTAAATCCACGTAAATTACACATCACAGCAATGAGGCCAGATACATTAAACCATACATCCTTTACCGTCAAACTGGGTCTGAACACAGCTGCCTGTGTGCGTTTGATTTTATATTTATTATATGCTACTTATCAGCTACATGGCCCTAACGTGTAACGTTATACAAGCATATGTACCAGTGCTTTTCATACGTAGACTCTTGCAGGTCAGAGTAGCTGGAGTGATTCAACAACAACAAAAAGACATATCTGAGAAGTGATCAGGACGAACAGAGAGAGGAAAAGGAAAACAGAGTTCACTGAAGAGACCAGGAGGGTCAGAGCAGGAGAAAGAGGAGGAGATGGAGAGACCAGGAGGGTCAGAGCAGCAGGAAGAGGAGGAGATGGAGAGACCAGGAGGGTCAGAGCAGGAGGAAGAGGAGGAGATGGAGAGACCAGGAGGGTCAGAGCAGGAGGAAGAGGAGGAGATGAAGACATTAGTGAAGAAGAAGACATGTATGTGAGGAATAAAGATGAAGTGTCAGAAAGAGGGACAGAGGCAGGGATCAGGAGGCAGAGGAGACTCCAGCTGGACCACATGCTATGTTCTTATTCTCCTTGCATATTCCATCACAGCAGCACAATCTAGCAGCTCTTAGTATTGACACATATTGAAATGTGTTGCTGCACAGGTCACCTTTAGCTCTCTAAGAGATGGGTGATGTTATTTATGTACTTAATTATAACTAAGTACTCTTACTGTACTTACAGTAAACAGAGTTCTAGGGTATCATGAGTATTTTCTGCTGTTTTATAATATATGTTAGTTTGTTTGTCTGAACACCTTGTTTCTCTTGTGCATTAAGAACACTTGTGTTAGGGCATGATTTAACAATAAATAGGTTATATATACAGTATAAAATACCACGTACTGTCCGCCCTCCCATGCCACCCTGTCATGACCTCTTGCCCCCCCTTTGCCACCCCATGTAAAATGTTCTAGAACCGCCACTGATCCTGGTCCTCACTGCTTCGTGCAGCAGGCTGACCTCAGTGCGAGGGCTGCATCCGTTTCCACAAACTTCCCAAAATGTATTTTAACATGGAGCCCATAACAGGCGCAGTAAACATTGTGGAGGAAATGTTGCCCGTTTTCACGGTGGAATCGCCATCTTTCCGAAACATATGAGCAAGATACAGGAGACAGGAGATCTTTTCAAGCTACCTGGAACAGTGTTCTGATGGAAACTGAGCTAAAGGAAACATGGTGTTCAAACAAAGAGCAGAAACAGAGGTCTGTGTGCAGGATTGTATTTATCAGATTAAGGATTGGTCTGAGCTGATCTGGGATCAATGAGGTTTAACTTTATATTGTCATTTGTCATTTATGCTGCATCTCAGGTGATGTTACAGAGTAATCCAAAAGTAATGTAACTAGTAGTGTAATGAATCACTTTCAGCAGTGAGTTATTTAGAAAAGGCATTCCTTTTTTGAGTAACTACACCAACACACTGCGTCCACCAAACAATACTATATGCTGTACATTTCTCCACCTCCCCAACAAGGAGATCCAGTGCTGGATGCATTTTTTTAAACATTTTAATTAGGGTCTGAGACCATAGGTCGGCGAAGACCCTATTGAAATCGGTCGCGCAGCGACCGATAAACCTGTGAAAAACACCCAAAAACAGGGAAAACGACCAACAAAAGCACAGAAAAGGTTCGGAAATAGTGACGGCAGATAGTCCACGCGAGCCCAGTCACGTGGGCTTTGTCATGACAGTAGGTAGCCCACGGCCAACTAGCACATTATTGATATCGGTCCGATTATTAGGGTCTGAGACCTAGGTCGGCGAAGACCCTATTGAAATCGGTCGCGCAGCGACCGATACACCTTTGACCCCCGCAACATATGTGAAAACTCACCAAATGTTGCACGCGCGTCAGAAGTGGTGCAACTTCAGATGTGTAATTGGTTCCGGAACTTTGCGTCAAAAATTGCGTTGGCCACGCCCACTTCCGTTTTTAACGTAAACTCCCCCCACTTTAACTTTCACGTAAACGAACGAAACTCGCTACGCATATCTAGGGTGCGGAGACAAACCAAAAAGCCTCTTGGAGGGGTATAAAATAACGTACAGGAAGCCGGCCATTTTGAATTTGGCGTCGGAAAAACGCGATTTATCGCGCCAAAGTTCGCGTTCGCTCCGATGCTAGGCGATCCCTCGCCATGGAACACGATGATGTCATAACGCCAACTGACATACTCAGAACGCCACCAAACTTCACATGATGGTTAACACTGCGGCCCTGAACAGCTCTTCATCAAATTTGATGTTACTTAATATGGCGTTACCATGGCAACGCATCCCTCGCCATAAAACACGGTGTCGCTGTAACTCCAATGGACACGGTCCCATCGTCCCCCAATCTTCACTTTTATATCACCGGTCCATGCCTCAACAGCTCCACGTGAAATGTGAGATCTCACCGTATGCCGTTTCCATGGCAACGCATCCCTCGCCATAAAACACGATGTTGTCTTAAGTCAATGGAAAATGGTCCAAACTGCACCACACTTCAGTTGATGGCTACTAGTCCGGCCCTCAACAGCTCTACGTGAAATCTGAGATCTCACCGTATGCCGTTTCCATGGCAACGCATCCCTCACCAAAAAACACGAAGGTGTCTTAAGTCAATGGAAAATGGTCCAAACTGCACCAGACTTCAGATGACAGTTAATGGTCCGGCCCTCAACAGCTCAATATGACATTAGTGAGTTTTCCTCAAAAGCTGTTTCCATGGAAGGATGCGTATCCTTCGCCATAAAACACAATGTTGTCTTAAGTCAATGGAAAAGCTTCCAAACTGCACCAGACTTCAGATGACAGTTAATGGTCCGGCCCTCAACAGCTCTACGTGAAATCTGAGATCTCACCGTATGCCGTTTCCATGGCAACGCATCCCTCGCCGTAAAACACGATGTTGTCTTAAGTCAATGGAAAATGGTCCAAACTCCACCACACTTCAGATGATGGCTACTAGTCCGGCCCTCAACAGCTCTACGTGAAATCTGAGATCTCACCGTATGCCGTTTCCATGGCAACGCATCACTCGCCATAAAACACGAAGTTCTCTTAAGTCAATGGAAAAGCTTCCAAACTGCACCAGACTTCAGATGACAGTTAATGGTCTGGCCCTCAACAGCTCTACACCAATTCTGGGATGTCATCATATGCCGTTACCATGGCAACGCATCCCTCGCCATAAAACACAATGTTGTCTTAAGTCATTGGAAAAGGTTCCAAACTGCACCAGACTTCAGATGACAGTTAATGGTCCGGCCCTCAACAGCTCTACGCCAATTCTGGGATGTCATCATATGCCGTTTCCATGGCAACGCATCCTTCGCCATAAAACACAATGTTGTCTTAAGTCATTGGAAAAGGTTCCAAACTGCACCAGACTTCAGATGACAGTTAATGGTCCGGCCCTCAACAGCTCTACGCCAATTCAGGGATGTCATCATATGCCGTTTCCATGGCAACGCATCACTCGCCATAAAACACAATGTTGTCTTAAGTCAATGGGAAATGGTCCAAACTGCACCAGACTTCAGATGACAGTTAATGGTCCGGCCCTCAACAGCTCTACGTGAAATCTGAGATTTCACCGTATGCCGTTTCCATGGCAACGAATCACTCGCCGTAAAACACGATGTTGTCTTACGTCAATGGAAAATGTTCCAAACTGCACCAGACTTCAGATCATGGCTACTAGTCCGGCCCTCAACAGCACTATGCCAATTCTGGGATGTCATCATATGCCGTTTCCATGGCAACGCATCCCTTGCCGTAAAACACAATGTTGTCTTAAGTCAATGGAAAAGGTTCCAAACTGCACCAGACTTCAGATGACAGTTAATGGTCCGGCCCTCAACAGCTCTATGCCAATTATGGGATGTCATCATATGCCGTTTCCATGGCAACGCATCACTCGCCATAAAACACAATGTTGTCTTAAGTCAATGGAAAAGGTTCCAAACTGCACCAGACTTCAGATGACAGTTAATGGTCCGGCCCTCAACAGCTCTATGCCAATTATGGGATGTCATCATATGCCGTTTCCATGGCAACGCATCACTCGCCATAAAACACAATGTTGTCTTAAGTCAATGGGAAATGGTCCAAACTGCACCAGACTTCAGATGACAGTTAATGGTCCGGCCCTCAACAGCTCTACGTGAAATCTGAGATTTCACCGTATGCCGTTTCCATGGCAACGAATCACTCGCCGTAAAACACGATGTTGTCTTACGTCAATGGAAAATGTTCCAAACTGCACCAGACTTCAGATCATGGCTACTAGTCCGGCCCTCAACAGCACTATGCCAATTCTGGGATGTCATCATATGCCGTTTCCATGGCAACGCATCACTCGCCATAAAACACGATGTTGTCTTAATTCAATGGAAAAGGTTCCAAACGGCACCAGATTTCAGATGATGGCTAATGGTCTGGCCCTCAACAGTTCTACGTGAAATCTGAGATCTCACCGTATGCCGTTTCCATGGCAACACATCACTCGCCATAAAACATGATGTTGTCTTAATTCAATGGAAAAGGTTCCAAACGGCACCAGATTTCAGATGATGGCTAATGGTCTGGCCCTTAACAGCTCTACGTGAAATCTGAGATCTCACCGTATGCCGTTTCCATGGCAACGCATCACTCGCCATAAAACACGATGTTGTCTTAATTCAATGGAAAAGGTTCCAAACTGCACCAGACTTCAGATGACAGTTAATGGTCCGGCCCTCAACAGCACTATGCCAATTATGGGATGTCATCATATGCCGTTTCTATGGCAACGAATCACTCGCCGTAAAACACAATGTTGTCTTAAGTCAATGGAAAATGGTCCAAACTACACCACACTTCAGATGACAGTTAATGGTCCGGCCCTCAACACCTCAATATGACAATAGTGAGTTTTCCTCAAAAGCTGTTGCCATGGCAACGCATCCCTCGCCGTTAAGCACGATATTGCTATAACTCCTGTGTAAATGGTTAAAAAGTGTTCAAATGTCACATGTGTGCTAACCGTCAAGCCCTCGAGACATATATGTGTCAGTTTTGAGATTTCGTCAAATGTCGTTGCTATGGTAACAACATGGTCGCCGTGAAACACGGTTTTCTCATATATCCAACATGCTCCAAACGGCCCAGAACTTCACAGGTTTGATAACGATGCAGCCCTCAACACATCTCGGCGTATTATGGGGTGTCATCAAATGCCGTTGCCATGGCGACAGATCACTCGCCATCAAACACAATGTTTATGATACTGCTGTAACTCGTACGTATGTATGTACGTTGTCCGATCGGCCTGAAACTTCCCACGTTTGCCAACGGCCGAGTCCTCGAGACACCTACACACCTCGACGTGCGGACAACAGCCTGCGGAGCGTCGAAGACCCGCTCAACGCTGCTTGCAGCTTTAATTCTTTTATTATTATTTTTTTTTTTTTAATTTTTTTTCTAGTTCTCTATCTGGGTTTTAATTGTTGTTTTACTTTTATGTATGCACCATGACACCTAGTCAAGTTCCTCGTAAGTGTAAACCTACTGGTAATAAACCTGTTTCTCATTCTGATTCTGATATAGAGCAACATGCTGTTTTCTAAGCATGTGTTCTTTAGCGCCACATAGTGGACGCCAGAGGTGGTGCAATATTTGTAACAGGTCATTTCCTGCGCATCACAGTCCGGCGAATGGGGGTTCAGGGCCCGGTACATGGCTGTTTGCAGCTTTCATTATTCATGGTATTTATTATATTTCAATACATAGCCTGCTACAGAAAAAGCAACATTGGAAGTGAAGGCAGTGCTTTGTTTATTTAAATATGAAAGACCAATACAAAAAATGTGTCACTTGAATCAATTAATAATCAAATAAACATGCATGGTGCCAATATTGATCTCAATAATTCCAATTGTAGTTTGGGTCTTAATAGTGAAGTATAATGTGTATTATGTGGTTGCTTTTCACTTTTCTGTTGCTAGATTGCAAGGAAATGGTGATTACAAATAACCCTTTAAAATGGAATGGTTAGGATATTTGAAAAGGTATATTTTCAAATAGACATAAATTAATTCCAGTTTATTGTAACTATATTATGATTCTGAAATTGGATACAGATACAAAGAAGTGTTCGGGTTAGGTAGGGTGTAGTTCTAGGATATAATAATTCCATGATAGGTATGGAAAGGAATATACAAATATTGAGATTTATATTGTGTATCACGATATAGCCGAAGATATTGAGATCCCAGCCCTGATTGAAAATTGTCTGAATGTGACAAACATTTTTTAAGATAAATGTTAAATACACTGCAATTATACAGCTCTTTTTTACTTTTTGCGACCACTCAAAGACAACACATGTCAGCAAAAAAATATGTAAACTTGCTACCAATGGATGAGAGGAGAAGATGATTCTACAGTAGTGAGTTATACTAACATTAGAGTGGAATGCTACGTTTAATGAAGGGGGTTGGCTTCATGGTTTACCATATAAATATAAATGACTACAGACTAAGCATAACAAACAGTTGCTAAGGACTCTCTGATTAAGGGAACATGTGCACTCATATTATTCTACAGAAAGAAGTCTGTTCAAATTGACATCAATTTTGGCCAGAGAAAACACATTGGTTTCACTCTTTACACAACACTGTGGAATACTTTCTGAATATTATTTGTTATATTTATGGAAAGCACAGAACGTTGCATTTATTCCGGCTGAACTGAAAACAGTGGTAAAGAGGTTAAAGACACAGTGAGCGGTAAGAACCCCCTCTCTCTTCAGACTGTGAATATCCTGTTTCCCTTCTCCTGCTTCATCCTTTCTTTTTTAACTGTTCTTGACTCTTCTTGCTTAAATAATATATTAACCAACTTTTTAAGTTAGACCTTTAATGAGTTACTGTTTTTACTCAGATGGAAATAAATGGCAGCATTAGTACGTGTTTTGGAATGATTATTTTGGTATGAGAAAAATGTGACCTGTGCCGACCTGTCTCAGTGTAACAGCTGTCCGTGTCGAGAGCTTATGAGTGTAAACCAGGATTTCATATGCAGATGTTGAGCAGGACACCATTATCTTAGTAAATGTGGCAGGAGAGACGTACCTCCAGGGTGGAGAAAGGTGATCTGTCCTGACCCAGTGTTCTTATCGTATTTCACCCTCTCCACCTCGCCCCCCCCTCTGCTGGGCCTGCAGAAACTCAGCCCAAGTCGGTCTTTCATTCTGTCCTCTGGCATGGAAGGGGGGATGTTGTGAACCTCGACCTCCTTTCTGGAAACATCGAGGATCACCTACATGGATGACAGTTCCAAACAATTAGGAGAGTCTTTAATGGACACTGCAAAGAATACTTATCACTACAAGCGTATAGACCGTCTGTGGTTTGAACATACAGTGATAACCAGGATTGGGAGGGTTACTTCAAAAAAATCCAATCCGTTACAATTACTATTAAAAAATGTAATAAGTAACCTATAATTATCACAATATAACAGTAATGTAACTTGAATACTTTCGGTTCATTTAAGATTACCTCATGATCATATGCAATGCAAATAACAAGATAAAATAAATATCAATAAGATGTTTTTAACTTAAGTGTATTGTGTAAGACAACAGAACCTAGAGAAGTAGAAACCAAGATATTTAGGATAAAAAATGTGTCCTCTTATAGGATAGGCCTAAAGAATAGTATAGTTAACAAATGCTGATTTAGTTTAAAGGTCCCATGTCATGGCCATTTCTACTGACCATAATTCCATTGTTGAGGTATTGAGGTCTACTAGAATAGATTTATACTGTTCAATGTTCCAAACTCACATTGGTTTCTCATACAGCATCTCTGTATAGTATGTGTATTCACTCTCTGTCCTAAACGGCTTGTTGGAGATCCTGCCCCCCCCCCCCCCCCCTCCCTGTGAGCCCACTGTGCTCTGATTGGTCAGCTCCTCCACTCTGTTCTGATGAGTCTACCACGTTACAGCAGTGATTATGTGTTACAATGGCGTTTGTTAGCAACCAGAAAATGACACCAGTAATGACAAACAGATGAGAATGCTGCGTGGGGTCTGGGTGCCGTGTTGGCGGGACGTTGCGCGGCTCGCTGCTGCGAGGAGCGGACAGTGTGAGCTGGGTTCATTTCCTGCTAGCTGCGTGGGATCTGCGAGACAGCGCAAATGGACGCGGGAAGGGGGGGGGGGGGGGGGGGTGCTGAGGGGGCTGCAGCACCCCCATCTGCGAGGCTCCACTAGCACCCCCCCCCCCAAACGCGGCGCACCTACAGTGTAAGCGCGCCACAGTTTTGCCGCTGCGAGGCTCCACTAGCAGAGTGTGTGTGTGTGTGTGTGTGTGAGGAGCTCCATGGACCAATGGGTCCATTTGGGTATGGGTACGTCACTGTACCCAGGAAGAAAACAATGGAAAAAGAGAAATCTCCAACGAGGACCTTTAATACATTCACTAAACATATAGCAAATAAACAATATACAATAAAGAAGATTAAAAGTAGCTTAAATGAAAACCTATAAGAATAATCAAGCAGTACGTCTAATAATAATATATACATTTTTATTTTGCATTGTAATCCTGTTTGTAATCCCCATTGTTTTAGGAATGTAGCAGTAATCTGATTACGCCCTTTTTTTGTATGTAACTGTAATGGAATACAGTTGAAAACGAATTGTATCCCGATTACATATTCCCGTAATCTGTTACTCCCCAAGCCTGGTGATAACCACAGATGCTAGAAAATGACTCTACTCTCTTAATTAATCAGACAGCTTCTTTTGGAAACTGGAAAAGCTGAGCTGAAGGCTTATCAGGGAAGATGTGATGAAGCATACAGAAAGTCTTCTCTGATGCTCAACGAGGAATATTAGTTTGAAGTTAGAAACTTGGTAGTTTGCATACCTCTGAAAGATGGAAGCTACATGTTAGGGAGATAGAGTGTAATATAAGAATGCCAGCTTAACAAAAATATCAGTGTTGAATTTAGCTTTAATGTGTGTGTTATGTGCCAGACAGACTGTACTTGTGTGCTTTTCCTTCCCTCCTGTTTTTCTCTCTTCTCCCTATCCCAATCTCAATACCCCTCCTCGACTCCTCTCTTCCCCTCCTCCGGGACTTGACCCGGAAATCGATCAAGACACGCCATGTTGAAGGACGTCCCAATAGCTGAAATGCACACGGAGGAGTCGAGGAGGGGTGAGGGAGGAGGGAGGAGGGAGGAGACGAAAGGGAGGATACACGAGAGCAGACTACGCGGAAGTGTTTTCACTACTCGCGTATAAAAGCCCCGCCCCCACCTTCACAGCTGGTCGATTTCAACACAGGAAAACGGAGAACTGGAAGAATGAGTGGAAAAGCGTCACATAAATGTATAAGTGCTCACAGCTCCGTGGGAATTATTATGTGCAATTCATTTCTTAAGGTTATACTAACAATTTAAGTCATGTTTAATGATCTTGAACGTCACTAAAACATAGCTATTAAGAAAGCTATTTCATAAATGGCTAGATCTTGATAAATAACAATTATTTGTTTTGTTTTGTGTTAAAAATATTGAGTAGTTAAATTATTTAAAATGCACAGTCCTGAATGTGGGTTTGTGGTGGGGTATTTTCAGAGTAAAAGCTTTCACATTATTATAATTATAATTTTATTGAAATGTACATTTTACACCAAAACGGAACACAAAAGCAGGACCAACCATCATACATTGAATTCCTTGACTAACAAGAGACAGATTCATAATTTAAATACATATTTAACAACAAATGGGCCGGTTCTAAGGGGTTATTCAGTTAAGCCCGATGAGAGGGGATACAGCTGTGCACATGTCATCATTAACAGACGTCGTTTAAGAGTGACGTTTGAGTGAACGAGGACATCCCAATTAATACCTGAGGACTCCTCTGTCCTCGCGTCACCTCCTCGTGTCTCTCGCTCGCATCTTACGGAGGCGGAGCTAAGATGCAAGGAAGGGACGCGAGTGAGGGAAAGGAGGAGTCGAGGAGGGGTATTGAGACGAGGCTCCTGTCTTCTCTACAGCTAATCAGCAGCTGATCAGTACCTGCCTGTGCACCTGAGTCTGACGGCTGATTGGATCCTCTCACCCTCAGATGGCCTATCAGCAGCCAGGGCCGATCATAAAGGAGGCACCCAGGAAGCCTTCTCCCTCTCTCACCCTAGGCCTGTTGCTGATTGAGGAGCCTGCATTTGATTACCTTGTTAGAAACTCATACTACTTTGTTTTTTCTGACCTTTGTGAATATGTGTGTGTTGGGAGGTGGAGGAGTTAGGTAAGTCTGGGGTACCCTGTACATTTCTCATCACGTAGGTAACTAATGTTTAGACACACTAGGTTAGCGGATTGTTGCCACCCCTGTACTCTGTTTTGTCCAGTTCTGAGTAGTTTAGTTAGTGAGGGTTTTTGTTTGAGTTTTGGTTTCAGAGGATAGATGTAGAGATAGGCCTGGTTTTGTTATACTTATTTATTTTGTTTGGTACAATCTCCTTTGTCTCATCCTCCTCCTCACACAAAGAGTATTTATGTTCAGTTCTTTGGTATACAAGGAATACACCTTTTTGTTAACCTTTACGCTGACTCACTCATTTTTATTGGTTGTGTGTTATTGTCTCCAGGTCCCCTAGACCTTAGTGGGGACGTAACAGTGTGCAATGTGAAAGTTGTGAAATGATTTGTATTACTAAATGATGCTGGTAAGAGATCACAGAAGGGACTGACCACGCTGCACTGAGTCTGCTGTGAGACACTGTGTGTAGAAGTGTAGAAGAGGTCATATCAAAAATTGCATCCTTAAAGTATCCAACAGATCCCGTCCACAACCAAGCTTTTGATCTCAAATGTAATGCCAGCTATGTGAAAATGTGTGTTGCTAGAGGACCATGCCAACCTGTCCTTAGATTTCCAAAAAACACTGAAGGCCGATCATTTCAAAAGATGTGGTATGAAAATAAGCCACAGGGGAAGGCTTTCAGGGGTGACGACAAGTCTGCCACAAGCTCAAACCAGGGCAACTTCCTTGAACTTCTTAAAATGTTTAGCCAGTACGATACTCAGGGTACATTTGGATAATGTCAATGACCAGAAAATGGGTAAGAAGAGATGTCAAGTTTCACTCCTCTCAAACAGAACACAAAATGATATCATAAAAGCCCTCGCCACGTTCACAAAAAGAGAGATAAGGAAAGAAATAGAGGAGGCTAATATATATTCAGTACTCATAGATGAAACCGCTGATGTATCTCATTGCGAGCAGGTCTCCTTTGTCGTGCGTTATGTGTATGAAATGGAAGTCAAGGAGTGCTTCCTCCAGGTCTGCAATGTGTCAAAAACAACAGGTGAGGAGATGGAGAAAACAGTTCTTGACTTGCTAAAGAACAATGACCTACAGATCCAAAACATGCGTGGTCAAGGCTATGATGGCGCTGCCAATATGAGTGGTCAATACAGAGGACTGCAGTCAAGAATACTGAATCACAATAACAAAGCTCTGTATGTGCATTGCCAAGCTCACTGCTTAAATGTGGTCTTAGTTGAAAGTGCAAAATCAAGCCTCCACTTCATTACCTTTTTCAACCTGGTAGAGAAGCTCTATGTGTTTTTTACCAGCTCTACAGAAAGACACACTGCATTTGTGAAATGCCAAGAGGCCCTGCACCCTGGAGAGCGTGTAATTCAACTGCAGAAGCTCTCTGACACACGTTGGGCATGCAGAGAAAAAGCCCTGAAGGCCCTCCTTAAAGTGATGAGTACTGTGGTCAAGGTCCTCACTGACATGACAGAGCAGGAGCCTCCAGATACTGCTGCTGGAGATGCCAAGATGTACCTTAAAGCCATAGACTTTGAGTTTTTCCTTTGCCTTGAGATCGCCACTCCAGTCTTTGAGGTCACTGCACTTGCCTCTGATGCTTTACAGAACTGCAACATTGATCTGTCCACAGCATGTACTGTTGTGGACGGATTGATGGACACCTTGTCCGACCTCAGGACAGAAGAACAGTTTGGAAAACTGTTTAAGAGTGCCACTGAAAAGGCAGAAGCCGCTGGGATCAGCATCCCCACAGTCCCCCCAGGACAGCAAAGGCAGAGGAGGGTGCCTGCAAAGTATCGGCAAAGTACTAATGCAGCCACAGAGAGTCATTCCTTCCAGTCAGTAGAAGACTACTACAGAGGGAAGGTGTACTACTCATTCATAGATGTTCTTTCTCAGGAACTAAAAAGAAGATTTAGGGGAGATGGCGAGATGGCGAGACAGAGTCCAGTAAA